CTGATTTGGCTGAAGTTTCTAACCGAGCTTGTGTTTTTCAACCTCCCTATGTACTGTGAGGGCTTCTTCATGGCTTCATCAAATATTCATAAGTTATTCAGAAAAAAGGCAGCTGATTCTGAGGAGGTCCTTCAACTGTGCTGCTTCACGCCATGATACGGTTATTCCGGTGTCTCCAGCAGGGTGAGCCAACAGCTCCTCTGGTCCAGCGAGCAGAGCCTGCCCTCCCTGCCCTCCAGTCCAGGCGTGGAGAACCAGTCCGCCTCCCAGTTCCTCCTGCTCCAGAAGCTGTCACTTCTCAAACTCACCGCTCTGATGGACAAGTACTCCCCGTCCAGCAAGCAGGGCTGGAACTGGTAAGAAGTGTGAAAGGATTGAGCTTAGTGGGTGATTTCATGCATGAAAATAAGTTCAGCGGAGGTCGAGAAGGTGAGAAAAGTCCACAGATGTGAAGAGAAACTTTTTCAAGGAAACAACTGTGGGAAGGAGGACAGGTGGGCGGGTGGAGGGTAAATATTTCAGGCAGCCTATTTAGAAAAGTCATTCATAATTCATTGCTCAGGTGCAACCTTGCCTCAAATGAAAAAAACAAAAACAGAACAACAACACACTTCAAGAGGAATAAGGAAAAAAAAACACAGGGAGGACTGCCAGTGGCTCACCTTCAGTCTGTTTTCCTGAGAAATTAAAGGAAAGTGTGATCTGTAGTTGTTTCTACTTGGCATTCATGCACAGTGGCTTATTTTGAGCTGTATTGTATCCTTTTAAAGGGTCAACACATTTACATTGTTTATACTGCTGCGCCAAATGAATTGTAAAATGACTACAAATAAGAGTACAGATAAAGATTCAACGTTGCTAAATTACTAATTCAACATTTAGCTTTGAATTTTATTGGGTTAATTTAACAGTAGGTACAGGTATATGACCCTGTTTAAGAAAGATTCTGTTTAAAATGAGACAAATCAGCAGTACGCCGTTTACGTGTGGACGAAAGGTGCAAATGCATAGAAAAATCTGCGTTTTCAAAAATACACGGGTACGTGTGGACGTAGCCTTAATTTACTTGTGTAGCATCTTTCATGAAGGTACCTGTAGCTCTGTGTGCTCCAATGATAGCTTGTAAGACAGAGCAAAATATAATTGTAGTAACAAAACAATAACAAGGAAACTGAAAAAGACAAAACTAAATGGATAAATAAAATACAAACATTTTAACCATGTAAGACCCAACCCATCAAAAAATAGCCAGAAAATTCTGACATGTGTAATAACCCTTATAACAAAATCCACAAAAATGTTTTTGCTATATCATGTTGTTTATGATATATTTTAATGATATATTTATTATATAGT